TCTCTCTCTCTCTCTCTCTCTCTCTCTCTCTCTCTCTGATTCTCTCCCTCCCTCCTTCCCCACCTCTTTCTGCCTCGTGTGAATTGTGCTACCATAGAGCCTTATCTTCAAGGTTTCAACTATAGAGCTTGTACCAAGGAACTTCTCAAACCTAATGGCAACGGAAGGCTGTGTGGGGAATTGCCATTCTTGGTAAGAAATAATCAGAGCTCTCCCTTAAAGTGTTTAAAATTACTGGTTGAGTCTAAGAAACTGAAACACTGACTCATTACCTTTCTGCAGCTTTGATAGTTCCTTTTCATCTCAAAGCCTAATGACCTTTCATATTGCGTTCTTCAGTAAGCATAATACATTTTTATTATCCTATAAAGTAAGAAATCAAGTACAAGCCAAATGCTGATGTGTATGCTGCCTTTGCATATGCTGCTAAACGCAGATCTGGTACCCATGTGGGTGGCTGTGTAAAAGGGCAGTGTGAGCTCACATACAAGTAGCTATCATTAATCCCTACACCATACATTTCTCCATACTTCATTCGGGGGGACTTCTCTCTAATCCTCAAAGGAAGTATGATTATAATACATTAGCCTGATTCTCTAATTCTCAGTTTACTAACAGAAATTTTATAAGATTCTTGAGATTACTTTTTGCAACTTCTAGGAGTACCTCCATTATCTCTGACCCAGCCCAGTGCTCAGTGGCTCAGTTAAAGTTCTTGCTGCTCCAGGGCAGTCCTTCAGTGCAATGGTCTAGATGCTAATGGAAACCACTCAGTACAATTCATGTGTAAGTAGCCACGAGGCTAGAGATGCTGCTGCATTCAGACACACATAAGAAACCTTAGCTTAACATCAAGTATAGTTCAAAAGAACCATAAATATCATATATTTTTCCTTTTGGCAATAATGTTGCTCAAAAAATGTGCCTCCCTAGGAGGATTGGCTCCTCTGTCCCCCACCCCCAGCTATGCCATTGCATGTGCTCTTGCTCTTTCCCCTAAGTATTCCATCCTTTCATACTCCTTTCTCTTCCTTTCTCTTAGAGCAGAGGCAATATTTTATTTATTATTTGAAATATATCATTAATATACTTATTCTCCATGGACAAAAACATATTTTATTGCAGAGGTATATTTGCCCAACTTTTCTAACCCAGTTGTTACATTTTCTCTTTTCTAATATCCCCCAAAAGCCTTCTCGTTAAGTGGATCCTTTACACCTAACCAGGTCATCCTAGATTTGATAGAATTTTAAGTTAGTAGCTGAGGTTGGTTTTTGCCTCTAACTTTTGGAATCCCTGACACTGGGAATGAATTAAGTAACTACATTTCTTAACACAAATCCTCCCAAGTGTCTCGTGGACATTGACGTCTCCAGCTGAAGTGAAAAAACAGTGATGCTTGGTCTTTGGAGACAAGCAGGCAGGAATATGACCTTTCTACTTCCTAACAGTCTTTCTGCCCTTTCATTTTATGCAGATCACTTAGGGCAGGTAGCACTCACACCCTTCATCCTAATGCCCTTGAGCCTAGCATTGCACCAAGAATTATTTCTAGAAAAACCTGTGACTGCATGAGGCTTTCTGGGACAAGCCATAACACAAATGTCATTTTCTTGTGATCCTACTCATCCTCTGGCTCTGCGGGGGCTTTTACTTCTTTGCTCATAGTTTCCTGATCATTAAGGCCGGGGAGTGAGAGTCCTGATTGTCACATGCTGCCAAAGAGAGGATGCCAAGGTGGTGACTCCTCCCAATATTAGTAACTTTCAAATCACTGAGACCTTCTTAGTCAACTTTCAGGTTTCCAGAAATGCTCCCTTTCCTACTACTCCAACTCTGTTGCAAAAAAAAATAAAATGAAATAAATCAGAAAAGTAATGTTTCCCACTATCATATGGAAATCTTTATGCAACCTTATTTTAGTCCTTTAGATTTTATATCATGTTTTAATCATTCATGCCAACCTTCCTTTTGTGTTGTACATACATACTTTTCTAGCCTGTTCTTTCTCTCAGCACCTTATCTACTCACACTTCCTTAATCACACCCATTACTGATAACTTGTAACAATCATCTATTTCCAAATTCTTAGCTCACCTCTGCTGCTTAAAGAGGTGGACCATCAAAGAGGTACATGTTCCTTGAATATTTTTTCAGTTTAACCCACCAGGAAAAAAACACGACTAAGAAAAACAAATAAAAAAATAAGAGAGTGCAAAGAGAAGTTATTCAGTTTGTAAGATTCTCTTGGGCACAGGAATTGAGAATCCTGTGCTTTGATCTCAGTGAATATATTTTTATTTTGGTACAAATTTACCTTTAATAATAAGGGAGTGATTATCAAGTTTCCAGGGAAGAATGCAATCATTTTGATTATGCCAAGTTAGACCCTGCTTTGCCATACTTACTGAAAAGGACTAGGCTGGCATTGGTGACCCCCAGCTTGTTGGCAGCCACGCAGGTATAGTTGCCATAGTGCTCCTCAGTGACATTGGTCACCGTCAGGGAGGACTGTCCCTCCGTGCTCTTAATCTCAAGGCCATGAGCACTGTTTATCCTAAGAGTTCAAAAACAGAAAAGTTAAAAGGAACAATGATAGTAGTCTTAATTTAGTAATTCCTTCCCTATCTTTACCCTGGAAGAAAAAGAGAGGAAACAAACAGAATTGACTAGTCTCTGCTCAATTCCTCATTTTAATTTTAATTCTTATTATTTAATTCTAATTATCAGAACAAGTGACTACTAATAGACATGGAGAACTCATCAGGAATGGATGGTTTCCATTGGGCTTGAGTGTTTGCTGTTGTTCAAGGAAGAGATGCAGGTGGAAACTACACATCACACCATGTATTTCATTTTTTATATTTAATGAGTGTTTTTGGACTTCAGCTTAAGAGCCATAGCTCCAAAGCACTTGATAAATATACTAAAAAGGAAGAGCTGAATAGTATAGTTCTGCATAGCTATAACTGGGCTTGGCTTTGCCAGTGGGTTTTAGATCCCTTCAAGTGGAACACATGGTAGCTTGGCCACATACCTGGTGTCATCCCGGTACCACTCAAAGTCAGGTGCAGGCACTGCCGAGGCCTCACATTTGAGTGAAGCTTGTCGCCCTGTGGTGGCTTCATTGCTCTTGGACTCCGTGATAGTGGGAGGATCTGCAGGAAGGACAGGCACATGGGTTTATATGAGAACCAGAAGTTGATCTAAAATTTCCATTCAGGGAGGAATTAGAAAGGACAAGCTGATTGGAGGAAATCAGGAAAAGTTTTGTCTGAAGGCTCCAGTCCCAAAAATCATAGGATCTGTTGAGAAGAACTGATCACTAAAGAACTAAACAAAAATAAGGGATGATTAATGAAATGAGTCAAGTTTATGTAAATGAGACATTTAACAAAGTTTCATGGAAATGGAACCTAGGATCTCTTTTATCCCTTCCGCAATAAATTACCAACTGTTCTAATTATAAATTATAATATTTGCAATTTTTTCTTTTGATGAATTAAGCAGTGATACTAAAAGACTTGGGATTTTATATGTATAATTTGGCCATTTTTCTTTTTATTTGCTACCATCATTACTACCACTACAGTCTGAATTGGCTTTGAGAAGCCTGATGAAAATAGTAGAAGGCTAAAGTCTTCCTAACCCAAGCTAAGCTTGAGATTGTTGAAAGAAATCAGAAACAAACAGACACAAAGGTAATATTAGGTGATTACTGCATTTCTTCTATGTATACCCTTACTACTATGACCTAGTAAATTTTGTTTCTGTGTATGGGGCTCAGTTTGACATCCATCCTAATGCACAGAAAACTCCCTTTTTTATCAGCCTATACTTGTCCTGGCAGTTGTGTTCTTGAATTTTTTCTGCCTGTGGCTGGGCTTACAAAACTATAACAGGCTTGTGATGAGCTCAGAAATATATCTGATATCCTGATTTGTCCCATGATTATTTTTCAAAAAGCCCTACAGGTTCGCATGAGGAATATAGTGAACTCCTGGGCATGACGATGCTATGTTTGTGCAGTTTTGGATCTTTAAGAAAAGGACTTTGCTGTTCAAAGGTCATTTGCCAGGAAATGGCAGTTTGACTTGGAAAATGTGGAAAAGACCAAAACAACCTGTCTGGACTTTATAGAGGAAAAGCTTATTTTAAGGGAATGTGTAAAGTGAACTTTAGTTTTAAAAAATTATTTAACTGTTCTTCAGCTTCTGGTCCATCCTATTTCTGATTTTTCTCCTTATGTTTTGAAGACTATTTAAGTTTTCTGTCCATAGAAGACTCTGATCATCTGAGTTTAAAATGGTATACAAAAGCCTTATGCTAGCCAGCAACATCATCTTTATCAGCTTGGAAATTTTTAAGTCAGTGTCAGAGAGAACAGTAAGAGCATATCTGGGAAAATCTCTGTCAGCCCATATGTAAACAAGAAGACTAGAGAGCAGTGCTGTTGTTTTGTTGCTTTTGTTGTGGTGTTTCTTTTTGGACTTATCTGCTCTTTTATGTTGTCATTGTTGTTGTATGGACACAAAGTAGGAAGATGATGTAGTGGAAGAAGGACTGAGTAGGAGTCTTAGACTCTAGCTTCAGTTTGGCTGCATGGACCTCCTGTTACAGACTTTTATCTCCCAGGCCTTGGTTTTATTACCTATAAAATGAGAGAACCACACTTTAATGATAGATATCAACCCTTCTGGCTATTAAAAAAACCTAAAATTCTAGCTAAAATAGACCAATATTTACAAAAGGACACTTGGTATCATTATAACACATACATTTTCACACCTTTAATGCTTTTAAACTTTATTTATTTATTTATTTTTGCTTTTTTGAGACATGGTCTCACTATGTAGTTGAGACTGAACTGGAACTCACTATGTAGCCCAGGTTGGTCTTGAACTCACAGCGATCCTCCTGCCTCAGCCTGGGATTACAGGTGTAGGCCACCACGCCCAGTGCTCTTAAACTTTAAATTGCTAACTTTCCAGATTATAATTCATTTATCTATTCCATGGATTAGGAGTCAGGAGTAGCAGTCAGAAATGGGAAATCTGAAGTCTTATTTTCTACCCTACTTGTAGATAGACTTGGGCAAGTATCTATATTACTGTGAGCATTTTACTTTTAAAAGAAGGAGTTGGCTTAAAATGACCACTAAGATTCCACTTAAAAATTATTCTATGATGGGTTATATAGGTCATTAGACTAAATCAGCTCAAAGGGTAATGCAAGAATTGGAAATAGTTGCATTGGTGAGAGAGATACTGGTGTAGGTGTGTAGTATAGAAGAGAGTTTAGGATCTGATATTTAATTTGATAAACTTGAGCTCAACTCTAGACTCTGTCCCTCATTTGCTCTTCCTCATTAGTGAGTTTAATATTTTGCCCAGAGTCACACAGCTTCAATTTCCTCAGCAATAACACATTGGAGCTAGCAGCAGGGAGGCACATTTGGAAGCTGATAAAGGAATTCAGAGATGTCCTGCACTAGATTAGTGATAAAGGGCCTGGAAGAAGGGCACAGATTCAAGTTTTACAAAGCCTCAGAAGTGATCAAAGCAGCAATGGATTAGATGTGAAGGGGGAGGCAGAGAAACAGAATCAGAAAGATAACACCCAGGTTTTCCAATTGGACTCTAGGCAATGTCACCCACTGAGGTAAGGCAAAGATGTAGACCACCAGCAAGAAAACACTCAATAAATATCTGTTGCCCATCCTCACTCCCCATTGCATTAGGTTTGTAAGAAGCATATGACCTCACACTTGTAGCACAGTGGCCCATTTTTGTTGTCTGGAAAGACAATTTTACATGTGATTCTCTAGGTTTGTTCAATTTTATATTTGAAAAGGGCTTAAACAGTGTTTGTGAATGTCTATGACTGTGTGCTTATAACTCACCAATCTCGAATGATGACTTGCTTTACTCGACTGACCCACAACCTGGAAAAATTCCTTGCTTCCTGTCACACCATCTCTGGCACGCATCTCTGACTGGCACTTCTTAACTTGGTAGATACCTGTAAGTCCCGCTATGATGGGACCAGAAATGCAGTTCCCTGGTGACAAGTTCGGTGGAGAGTTCTTCTCTCTGGGTGTTTACTTCTTTACTTTAGTGCACTTACTGCTCTGGCACCTTCTTGGAGGTGGGGGAAGCAGAGTGATTTTTTTTTTTTTTTGGATTGAAAAACTTGGGAATAAACTGAGCCTGTTTGGCATGTTTGTTCTTTTTTTTTTTTTTTCTTGTACCAGGTTAAAACTCAGTACCTTGTGCTTGCAAGGCAGGTGGCGGTACCACTGAGCTAAATCCCTGGCCCTGTTTGGTCCATTTGAAACAAGCTTTGGCAGGGGACAAAGGTTCTCCTCTGTTTCTCCAAGGAGGAAGTCTCTCTGGTCTCTTTCCTTCCAGCTCTCATGTGGACAGGTTTCCCACCATCACTTCGAGGTGAGTTGAACTATGGTAGTGTGTGTGTGTGTGTGTGTGTGTGTGTGTACATGCGCGTGCGTGTTTTGTGTCTCCCACAACATCCTTTCACTTATTTCTCAGTTTGTTTGGGAACTAAATAAGTAAGCACAAGTTCTTCATTAGCCACCAGTGGTCCCCACCTGGGGAAGCTACCAACAAACTAAGGTTAAACATTTTGTCATTGTTGCACTATTGGAAGATTGAACCCAGGGGTGCTCTATTAGTGAGATTCCAAGCCCGCCTTTTTTTTTTTTAATTTTGAGAAAGGGTCTCACTAAGTTGAACTTGTGATCTTCCTGCCTCAGCTTCCCACATTACTGGGATTACAGGTGTGTTTTACCACGCCTGGCTGGTTGAGTGCAGCAATCTTGGTAAGGCGGATGCTGGTCGATTACCAGAGCTAACCACTTGCTTCTCTCTTTCCAAATCTAGGATGTTTCTTATCGAAAAGGAAAGTCATGGATACTGACAAGTACATGAGGACCCTCACTGTTCCTGCTATTTCTAAAATGACACCATAGCGGAGGTCTGTTCTTTTATGGTTTATTGAAATGAACAATTCAAAATTCATTTTTAATGCATTCTGTATAGGCGAGGCTAAGAAAGACTATTACAAATCATACGCAGCATGCTTAGTTAATTAAAATAATAGATGTCTTTGCTCAAAATATTGTTATAATAAAAATATGCCTTCATAAAAGTGCTGCACAGAGAGATCCATTGTTACTCTTTATGTGATTTCAGGATAGCTTATAATTGTCAAAGGACTCTTCCAGTTTTTATTATTTCAAATTTCTAGGTTCTGAAAATATTAATAGGACTTTTTTATTCTTATATCACTAATAGTAAGTCTCTTTTTTTCCATTAGAATCAATGCAATAGCAATGGCAGTAACATAGGAAAGAAAATAGCATTTATTTAATCTTTCTAATACTGAGAATACTTGTACAAAAATATAAAATTTGAAATGAAGGATACAACTTATAAGCATCATAAGCATGAAGTATCACTCTATTGGACAATAAATATCTAGCTCAACCAAGTAACATTCCTAGGAGTTATTGTTAGTCGCATTTGTTGAATGAAAAGACAGCCTGCAGAGGGTAACTTGGGCACATTCATGTGGACAACAGTTTGGCAGAGCAAGGATTTGGATATGGGGCTATCATGTTCTGAACCTCATTCTCTGGACCCCTCTGTACTAATAAATACATTTAAAGGAGTTATTTTAAATTATTTAATTATTTAATTATTTATTTATTTATTTATTGAGACAGGGTCTCATTATGTAGTTGAGACTGACCTGCAACTCACTATGTAGCCTATGCTGGTCTCAAACTCACAGCAATCCTCCTGCCTCAGCCTCCTGAGTGCTGGGATTACAGGCATGTGCCACCACTCCCAGCTGAAGGAGTTATTTTAGATAGCAATGGACCTCCAATAAGGAAAAAAAAAATATCACCACGGGGAGCATATTATTAGCTTGAAAGGTAAATGTTACATATTTTTGCTATTTACAAGGTACCAAAAAATGGCACAACATGCAGTGATATGGGGGCTATTATTTCACACTAGGAGTCAGAGGGGCCAGTTTCTACTTGTCCCACTTAGGCTGTTACCAGAGCGATGTTGTTCTGCAGCTTCTCACCTGTGAATGTAGATGCTGACACCTGCCTACCTATGTCACAGGTGTGGTGTACATATAAAATGAAATCATAATATGAGAGCACTTTCAACATCTAAATTGATCACATTCATTCTTTTTTATTATTATTCCTCACATTTCATGGATGGAGAGAGGTCTTGAGGTTAGATCCGTGTTAGAATTACAAGTCTCCTACTCACAAGTTTCTTAATTTTGTGGTGGGTAATGCTTATGGTTTCTGAGCATTGCTTTTGTCCTTCTACATAAAAATGATATCAATTATCCTCCAAGGTTAGTGTGCAGTGGTGTAACAGGGCAGCAAGGCAGAAGGTGCAGGCAATAAGAAAGGCAATGTCTGTAGAGAATTTAGAAACAATAATGGCTGATTTAAGTATGTATCAGCAGCACTAAATTAAATTGTTAAATAATGTCTATAATAAAGTAAATATTCCTTGTCTCTGGGGCATGCCATGCTGCTTAAACCTCCCAATAGGATTGGCCATTGTCACTGTAATGATTATAGTGAATTTTTATAAAATCTCTTCAAGAGGCATGGGATTCTTTAGGTACACAGAAAAAAATCATGGTTCTACTCCATATGATGAAATTTTGGTAGAAAATTTAGATACTCTGTATTTTTACTGAATATTGCCTCCAGAGATATCACAGTACAGTGGTACCTCAGTTCACAAATGCTTTTGTTTGAAAACAATTTGGTTCACTAACAAAATGCTTGGCAAAATTTTGTTTTGGTTTGAGAACTCTGCATTGGGAGGCAAACACAACTGTGGCCACCTTTGCCATACAAATAGGAACATGGCCATTTTTTCCAGCACCGTGGGATGAATTAGGTCTGTGCCCCAAGGTACCCCTATAGTTTAAAAAAATTCTAGCATGTGTTTTTATTTATATCTTTCCAAATAAAAAATTATAGTAGTTGGCATGGAGACTGGACAGGTGTAACTATGATTAATTAGAAATGGAAGTTCATTCACACTGTCTTATTCCACATTCAGCAGTTATTTTCATAAGGTTTCCTCATTCCGTGACTACTGAATCAAAGCACCGAAGAGTCTAGTTAAATACAGATATATTACCTGAACACAAGAGGTGTCTCCAGGCTCAGCTGTGTTCTGAGATTACCTCTGTTCTCTCTGCAGAAATGGCTACCAAATGTAAGTGTGGGCCATAGAAACGCCCCGGTCTCATGCTCTTCCCCATCCCCCAATACGGTTAATCTTGGAAACCAAGATGAAGCAAAGCTGAGTGAAAAAAAGATATGGAAAAGCTGAGACGGGAAGATTTGCTTGTCACTGGGAGAGGTGGTATGTTTGAGAGCTGGGAGACTTTGAGAATTTCTTCAGGAATAGGAAAAAAAAACTCTACTCTGGAAAGAATACAAATAAAATTAATAGCCTGTATTAATTGAGCACTTTCTATGTGATAAATATTTTCCCAGGGATACCGAACACTGACTGGAGTGAGACAAAAGTGCTAACTAAACACTTTTGTGCGCTGTGGGAACCAAAATTGAGAAATGACACCTAGAACCTGCAATGAAAGGACCAACTGTCTCTAGGTCTGGTATCGAGAAGAAATTGGCAGCAATACTATGGGTAAGATACAACAAGTCAGAAGTTCAATCTCATAAATTTTACTAAGCTTATGTAATGGAAGAGCTTTCAGGCCAATACTTTAGCTCTCTGTCAGGTCCAGGACCAACTACCACTTAGAAAATAGATTTTGTATGTAAAATGGCTATGTGCAATGTTGTAGGCCTCGAGCAGAGAAGAGGTATCTAAGAGAAGTGAAAGAGAGTCCATCCAGTTTGGGAACTCAACAGGAGCAACTGTTATTTCTATCTAGTTAGCATACTAGCTTCTCAATGCCCCCGACAACATCTGTTGGCAACTGAATAAATAAATCAGGGAAGGAGTGGTGGAAAAAAAGTAATCAGTGCTAGGACTTCTTTTTGCAGTGGTCCTCGGAGTCTGTTCATTATAACGATCTCTCCAGCCAGAACTTATCTCAGCCGTTCTGATCCCCTCACCTAATTCCAAAGCCCATGTTTTGAAAAAGAAGAGAAATCAATTTAAATGATGGAGCATTTTTGTTAGTAAGCAGGCTTAAATGAAGAGACACAAGTGATCCTGAATATTTTTCTATACACAAAGCTTTTGTCAGGCAGATGTTTCCTTTATTTGCACCTGGAAAATGCATCTACTTAAGAAAATTACATTTGGGTAATTTGAATGGGACAACTGTCATGATGACTAATTTCAATATAAACATGATTGGTTTATGAAGTTTTGTTAAAAGGTGATTCCAAAGGCAGCTGATATCAGAATATTCTTCCTGATTTGTAGCCAGACTCATTTATAAAGTTTTGAGAAATGTTTAAGAGGGCATAAATATTAGGGTTTTTCACCTATTCTTTTAGTAGAAATGCACTGAGCAGGACTGGTGATTTAGTTTAGTTGTACCACACCTGCCCAGCAAGTGCAAGGTCCTGAGTTCAATCCCTGGTACTGCCCCCCAAAAAATATTGAGCAATTTTTATAAGGTCAGGCATGTGTTAGGTCCTGTTGCGTAGGATATACTGGATAATGGCTTACATTCACCTTACTACATAATTTATTATGAGGTATCTTTTAGATTTTGTCCATTTTCTTGCAAAAGCTCACATTGTCATGAGTCTTTTCTTAAAAATTATCAGTATTTGCTTCTGTGCTAAATTACACTTTGGGGACAGTGAAGTAGGAGGAATGTTAGACTAATTGCTCCAATAATAAGAGGGCCCAGGCTCCTAGTAGCTTTGATGATGGGAACCATCTGCAAGCCAAACCACTTTGATGTTTCATACAATGGAAGTATAAATATTTTCTATTTACTCCATGATTGGACTTTCAGAAATCTAATTAAGTTGAAGGTCAATTAAGAGAAAATGAAATCTTTACTCCAAAAGTCACAAAAGAGGTGGAAGACGATGACATGGTTATGTGTACATAAAAGAAGATAACTAACCTAATTATAAACTTATATAAACACCCAGAGAAATTGCCTTTCATGTGAAAAAAGGACCTAAAGCATTTTATAACATTGAGATCATTAATGTGTCTTTGAAACACACCCAGTACTGGAAAAGAATAGTAATGCTGGCATTTCAAAACTCTATTACAAAAAAAAAAAATTGGAGACAGCTAGGTACAAAAGCACTTCACAGCTCATAAAATGCAGCCCCTTATTCTTAGAAATGAGGACCTTAAGTGTGGGGAGCAGAGCCATGTCTATTGGATTCTTCCAGGTACAGTGTGAAAGATATTCCACTGCTGTTTCAGAAGGCAGAAAACCTGGAGCAGGACCCTGGAAAGCAGGGCATTGCTGAACAGAGAGCCCCCCGCCCCATAGCAAGATTCCTCAGCTCTCTAAACCTCAGTTTCCAAATTTCTAAAGCAGCACTGGTGATACTTATCTCATAGGTTCACTATGAGCCTTACAAACAAATTTAATTAACTATGGCGATGGGGTGTGTAACAGGGTTGAAATGAAATAACATATATGTTAAATGCACGTGCTAATTTCCTGAAAGAAATTCTACCATTAGGTAACATTCACATAATGAAAAAGAAAAATATAACAAATGTAAATTGCTTAATCCCAAGCTGTACATAGTAGGTACAAATAGTTGAAATTCTTCTTACTCCTTCCTCCTGAGGGCATGGGCTTTAGAATCAAATAGCCATAAGTCTAAATCCCTTTTCTTACATTTGTTTTTCATGTTGCTCTAGATAGACAATTTTAGCTTTTTAGGCCTTGGTTTCTCAAACTTTGAAATAGAATGAAGTTTCACCGAGAAGTAACAGAATTCATAGAGATTCACTGGCACACAAATGAGAGTATGGAAAATACAAGGCAACAAAATGTAACTCATTAGAGCCTAGAACATATCTTCAGATTTGGGTTATGGTGCACGCATGTGTGTGTGTGCGTGTGAGTCTGAGTGCCTATGTATACATATGTAGGTGTATGTACTATGCAGAATTTGGGGGTGAGGAAGTGTAGGAATGTGGGAAATGGGAAGAAGGAAAGAACTGTCAGGATATTCCTTTACCTCTGTCATTAGCCACAATTGTGTGAGGCAGAAAATTGAATTTGAATGATATACACAGTCACTCCAAACTGAATAAGGTAAACAAATTCTGTTTCTTCCTTTGGTGGGTGACACACTTCTTATAGATGTTCTCTCCTGGTCTCCCCCTTTTGAACTACATCTAAGGAGTCTTTCATCTGGCAAGTTCAAAGTATGCCCACTTACCTATATATCTTAGTGAAATCTTCCTTCCTAATGCCTGTACTTTGAGTCAAATAGAGAACTAGAAATTAACTTTTCAGGCATTCCTGTTAGCCTTCAGGGACAGACAGTATCTGACCATGGTTGGTTGAATTTGTTCCCCAGGGCAATTAATTAATAGAGGATAAACAATAATCTTGGAGGATTCCCTTCTGACAAACAATGCACTGAGATAGAAATTCTTACGAAAGCAGATCGGAGCTGTTGCTTTTTCGGAGATGATACGACCTTGATGTCCACAAAGACCAGAATAGTAATTCCAGAAATGGTAGTGTTGTATGAATGTGTGTGTGTGTGTGTGTGTATATATATATATATACATATATATGTATATATATATATATACACACACACACACACACACACAATTCTGTAATCTAGGTAAAACACAGAGACTATTTTACATGTGTTATGGGTTATATTTAGAATGGGTGAAGTTGATTTATCAAATTCAAAGGCCAAGTCCTGCCCTTGGATGTATCCAGCTCACTAATGTGCTTCCCTGACCAAAGAGTATCTGTTTTAAGTGTGATGCTGTCTTGCTAATGGGATCTTTAGGAGGTGGAGGTGTACCTTGGACACAAGTCACCTGCTGCTGTCATACTCACAGTTCACAGTGACCTTGACTTGTTTGACGTCGGCCGAGGAGACCTCATTGGCTGCTTTGCACTCATATTTGCCTGACTGCTCCCTGGTGATGCCAAGGATTTCCAGATATTCTTCTTCTCCTTCAACTTCTCTGCCTGAAAAACACAAGTTTGCATGAGTTTTTAGTATAAAATATGCTGCAGGTTGCCTCAGTACTCTTTGTCAAAGCAATAAATTCACATTTTTAGATAATTTGACACTGTGCTTTGTCTGAAGTCAGGTTCTACAAAAGGAGGCCCCAAGATAAAAAGTCCAGTGAAAGTGATTAAACAGGAAGGGTTCCCAAAGAAGACTAGCAGAGGAGTGGGAAAGTGGGGTCCATAACAGAAAGAAGCCAAACAAAGATATGATCATGCCACTCAGTCCCACGGAGAGGAACTTAGCTCAGTGCTTCAGGAAGATATGAGGACAGTTGTGCTGATAGTAGGGCAACATTCTGGAGTGTTTATGTATTTGTATCTGTCAGTCACTCGGGATTTTGGAGAAAAGTAGCATTGCTGGAGGTGCACTCAAATTGTAAAGTACTCTGAGGGGTCCTGGGTGAAGAACTAACATCATTGGTTACATCTTTATCCCAAAGTGGTTGTTAAAGATGTAGCTTCCTTTTGAGAAACCACCACTCCTCTGGAGTTTGTGTGGATCTCTTTTCACAAGGATCATGTGCTAAGTCCAGTATTGCAGCTGTTTTCCTTGCGCTCTGTCACCCTTGGATGACATGAGCTAGTGCTATGCAGACAAAGTATATTGTGAGAGACCAAGCCACCTTCAGCTGTGAGTTGGGAGCTAAATATTATTGGTTTTTAACAGATGGGATTGGGGGCATAGAGGACCTGTTTGGAAAGATGTACAGAGTTAGCTGTGTCAATTTTAGTGAAAAGGTAAGCTTGTTTAGTAAAGAGGTAAGGGGCATCATTGATTATATGACCTTCTTGCTGAAGAGATTGAAAGAAAGAAGGAAGGAGAAGTGGAAGAGGAAGGGAAAAAAGAGAAAGAGAGGTTAGGGAAAATAAAAGCTTGGTCAGCAGGAAGAGTTACCCAGAAAGGTCTACGAACTTTAACTGTGGTTACATATAAACTTCTCTTGCCTCCGCACAAAAGTTCTATGCCAGTGCCAACTGGGTTAGGATAGAGAATCTGGGGAAGGTATTGAAGAACACAGTCATGGCACCATGATGGAGTTTTGCTCCTGGTCATCTTACACTAAATGGTAGCAATCAGTAGCTCTTCTGAAATGCCACAAGCTGCTTCTCTTTTCTGGAAATTCCCTGATGACCAAATCAACAAAACAGCCAGCCAGAATGGACCTGAATTCACTATCTAAATATGTCAGCTAAGCCTGTTAACTAGGCTGCTAATAGAGTGCCAGATTTTGATAACATCCTATAACACAAATGGCAGGACCACTCAAAAGTTTCAAGTCTCTGTCAAGTGTCAAGATCACTGTGATTATTTTTGGTACTAGGGATCTAACCCTTGGGTGCTTTATCACTGAGCTACAACCCAAATCCTTTTTATTTTTATTTTTTAAATTTTGAAATAGAGCCTTGCTAAGTTGCCTAGGACAGGTTTGAAATTGCAATTCCCTTGCCCCAGTGTTAGAATTACAAGCATGTGCCACAACCATACCCAGAAAAATCACTGGTTTTGAGGAAACTTCACAATCCAAAAAAAAAAAAAAAATAGGCAACAGTAATATAAAATCATTCAGCTTTGAAATTCTGCTCATTATCTAGCACTTGCTTCCACTGAAGATGTTTTAGAATCGGCCTATGGTGTAAAGTGGATATTATTTATAATATGCTAATTTTTTTTCTTTCTGTGGTTTCCCCTTTTCCCTTCCCCATATTAAAGCAAGAAGCCAGATTTGATTTTGTCTACTAGTGGACTATAGTAGGAAAGAAAACTGAAATCTCAGATGACTTTATTGGGTTAACTAGGCAGGATTTGGACTTGGAGTTGAAAAAAATCTGTTGTGTATAAAGGGTAATAGAAAAATATGGTGAACGTTTAATTAAAAAATCATAGTAAAGGGCTGGGGATTTAACTCAGCTTTTTTTTTTTTTTTTTGCCTGCTTCCAATTGCAAGTTTCAATCCCTGGTAGAAAAAATAAAATCATAGTAACATAACCTCACTCAAAATCCTTCCCTTCAGTTCTAGAATAATTGTCACTCTCTGCACTTTTGGAAGCAGTTCTAAAGTTCTTTTTCACAAATGTCTACAGTTGCACGATTGTGGGGGCCTTGATGTTCTGGGTCAATTAAAAACATGGCGAGTTTGATTTTGGGGAAAACCTAGAAGGTGCATGGTGCCAGATCCAGGAAATAAGGTGGATGAGTACACATCACAATGTTTCTACAAGTCTGCCGTTCTGCTAGATGGCACTCAGCAGCAGCATTCACTGTATTTTTGATCACACCTCATAAAGAAACTCTTGAAAGAAAACTTTCAGAACTGCTTCAGAAAGTGGAAAGAATGATGGAATGAATGTGTTTGAAGTAAGGAGTTTTTTGAGGAAGATTGATGGCAATGTGTCTTCTACGGTAGTAAATCTCTTAAATTTAGGCAGTTCCTGTATGTTTTATCATACCTCATATAGGTATGTCTGGGGACTAGGAGTCATGACATCTACTAGGTGCCAAGAGTTAAAGGCCCTGATGACTAACAGCAATTTGGTTTATGAGTTTTTATTCAACAAGATGAAGTAAGTGTAAGCTAATTAAAAAATGAAGTGTAGAGGTGGAATAAATAGCAAGATAGCATTATTGATATTGATCATTGGTATATTACAATAAGAAAAGTTAAATATCATTCTGAATGTTTTAGCATTTCCTCCTGTCCTCCTCCAAGTCTTATTCTAAGATAGGGAAAGAGTTTTCAGTAGAAGAAAGAGAGAACAAGAAGGGTCAGAGAGATGTTTGAAATGCTGAATTCTTTTCAATTCCCATAAAATGACTAGAAATGGTGGGTCCTGGATCCCTACCTCCTATTTTAATAACTCAAAGGAATAAACTAGTTGCAGGAAAAGGAAAGAGGATTTTGGCAGCTCCAACTGAGACCTGACGAGTTTAGTAAGATAGGAGGATAAATATTAAAATGAATGAAAGAAAACAAAGTAGTATTTATTAGACTTGTGGCTTGGGATTATTACAATGCCAGTGTATGCAACAATCTCATTTCCTGATGAGCAAATAGGAAAACTCATCCTTTTCAGATAAATTGAAATCTTATGTCTCTAGGAAGAATTTAGAGGATGAAAGGGGAGCTTTTCCTTACATGACCTCCCTATGAGGCAGAGATGATTTTCCTTTTTCCTAGGCTCCTGTGGCTGCCTCCATCTCCATCCAGCACACAAGGGTGCAGAAGAGTTCCACTAAAGTGGTGGAATCTCAGAGCACAAACTGAATTAAGGTAAGAGGAATTATTGGATCCTCTCTCATCCTAGCAGTCTGGCAAGAATTTAAAATATTAGGACCCTTGGGATCTTCTTGTCAATTTTCTTTTACTTACCCTGGTATCCTCTAGTTGAAACTCTACTTTCACTGACATTTCTTGCTAATTTTTCTACTCAAATCTTCAACAGACACCCTCACGATTGATTATATGTACTGTTTCACTTAAAATTTCTCATTAATCCAGATGACTTCGGTTAGAAGCTTTTCTGTTGCTAGCCATCCAACACTCAGATTCTACATTCCTTGGGGACTATGTCTTACTCTTGGCAGTCCCATCCACTTGCACGGAGTTTGGCACAGACTAGGGGGTCAGTAAATGTTTACTGAATTAGCTTACTATTGCTGGAATGCTGTGGATCTCCACAATTTGTATGTTGAAAATTATCAGTGTGATAGTACGGAGGTGAAATCATGGGGAGGCAATTAGAGCCTAAAAATCGGAGTCTTATGAAAAAGATTAGTGCTGTTATACAGGGGCCTCTAGAGATCTCCTGTGGCACTTCTGCCACATGAGGACACAGAAAAAAGTGGTCCTATATAGACCAAGAAGTGAATCCTCTCAGACAAAGAAATTTGCTGCTACTTTGACCTTCATTCTCTACACTTCAGAACTATGAGAAATAAGTTCCTGTTGTTTGTAAGCTACACAGTTTATGGTAATTTTTGTTATGGTGGCCTAGATGTAAGGGGACACAACTGAACAGTGTTAAGAAAGACAAGCAGATGCTAGAGTCACATCCAACACTTTATATAGCTTAAGAGAATGGAGCTGAGTATTGGAAGGTGGCTGAGCATTTCTGCCAGAGAAGCTGCCACGAGAATCTGTTCCCTTTCCATGAGCCTAATAGAGTACCACATTACTGGGGCGTGCAGAGTACTCTGCAATTAAAGGCTGGACAGAGTAACTTCTGCCCTTGTCCTGAGGATGGAACTGCTCTATGGAGTTACTGTTTCAGAAGCCAGCAGAGCCTGCTAAGGTAATAGGATTGATCAGGTGCTATTCCTTTCTATTGTTTTAATGCATGGAAGAAAGCATATGAATTATTAGTTCCCAAATTCTAAAACACACTCAGTTTCTTTTGCTCTTGTTCCTTTGGCTCAAAGTGTTTGTGGGCATGTGGGTACATGTTCTATGATTCTTTCAGGTCTCTCTATCGCTTTCCACAAAGGATCTAGCCACCATTTGTTCTAATCTTTCAACCTCAAAAAAATACTGATGCCAGAAACTGACACATAACTTGACGTTTAATTTTTCTGAAGGACTTGTGTTATGGTTACAACTTAGGTTCTACTCTTCTTGATGTGAGAAACAGGATAGATATAGATATAGATATAGAAATGCATAGAAATAAGATATATATGAAGTTTGCATATGTATAGAAATAATATATATATATATATATATGTATTTGAATGCAAATTTTCAACATTTTACAACCAAGTTCCACAGGCTTGCTCACATTGTTGGGTGTTGTATTTATTCCAGGCTCTAGTGTTTAGTTAAAATCTTCCTTTGCTTAATGTGTTATTGTGTCCTCTGCCAGTGTTCAGCTACCATGCTAAATAACATCTCCTCCTCCTCAGTGTCTGTGCCTTTCAAACTCTTTCACATAGTCTATCCCTCTTAGTCCCTGTTTATTCA